TAATGATCAATGTTTTGAAAATATGACCATGCAATTTAGTACTCACTTATTGGATCTAACCTAACCAAGTGAACCTTAACATTAAATTTGGTAATTTAACATTAGTTAAAGTCTTGTTATATTTTCGTTGTTCACGACAAAACCATTAAAAAAAGATAAGTATTTTTTTTATTTTTTTTTATTTTTTTTATTTTTTTTATAAATAATAAACATTATATTACGACGAACAAATTTGTTCCTTTGACGGAGCGAAAAAAAATAAGTAAAAATTCCACAAGTGATGAACGGAATAAGGGGGTAAAAATGTAGGTATATTCCTCAAAGGAAATTTCCGAACATGACAGTGTGCGGTCGACGTCCCACACGGTAAGTCCGTTACGGCCGATAAAGAAAAAAGATCGCATAAATATTTAACACGTGCAAAGGTTGTACATAACAGGAAGCCAAAATAAGGCAAAAAATTCCGGCATTTTACGTATATATGTTAAAATCGCATACGATGGTCGTTTTGGAAAACAACGTCAGGTGGAAAAAAAACAATAACAGGATAGAAACTCAATTCGTCGATCTATATAATATATATATATATATTTTTTTTGGCGCCCTTAGATTTGCTATATCGCCCACCCGTCGATGGCCACTCGCAGGTGCATAGGGTATCGCAATATATCGGAAGGGTTTAATAATAATGATAAGTATGCCTTGGGGACGAGGATGATGGTTTCGACCGAAAGCGAAAAAGACACATCGAAATACGTTGCTTCGGATCTTTTACATCGCGAATTTGATTTCCTGTTTGAGTCATCTGTTAGTCGATATCTGTCGAGTCACATTACGAATTACTAATTACGTAAGMGAAATCCTCGTTTTAATTAATATGAGAAGCATACAATATTAACTATATCTCATACAATACGAATAGAGTTCTTAAAAAAGGTCTCATAAAAATATTACATAGATTTAATAGTGGATCTATTATTCTTTTGTATAGTCGCACGTCTTGTACTTAATATTTTTACAAATCATAAAATCTGTTGAGATGGATTAATATTAACTACTAAAATGTTCAAAACATCATAGCCTCCGCATATCTACCCACTATCACAGACCTGTTAATTTTAGTATACAAAGTTAAAGAAGGCTATCAAAAACTATCCTTTCGAAAATTTTGTTTGACTCGTCAAAATGTTCAGAAAATTAATTATCTATATTTTCTCGTTCGAAAAACGGATATTTAAATTTCCACCTGCACTCCTT